GATGAAAAAAACACATCTAGTCAGTCCTATTTTGAAGTAAACTGCTCCTGATTTGACAGCTGCTCTCTCCACTCCTGCACGGCAGTGTGGGATTGCTGGTGAGCAGCCCTCTCTTCCCTCCTGTGCTCACAGGCCTGCGGTGGTGGACAAGAAAGGAGACCTGGCTAAGCTCAACGAGGTAGGCTACCAGCTCCGCATCTAACAAAGCCATATGCCAGACAGAGGGCTTCCTGGTGCTTCCCACTGCACTTTACCTGCACTCCGTTGGAAGGAAAAAGGAATGGGACTATTTATTAACTTGTGGACTCTTACAATAGAAGTTTTACCTCTGTAAAGTAGAATGGGGGAATTGTTTTTTTTGGTGGCAGTATTTATTCTCTTTGCTGATGCCTTTTCTATGAATTGAAATAGAACCTAAAATTATGCTTGCCAGGATATGAGATTTTTTTCCCCTCCATCACGTAGCAGGTGACTCCAGTGGTGTGAGTTTCTTCAAACATAATTTCCCTGTACAGGCATTCAATGAGAATCTGGGCATTGTCCTGGGTAGTAGCATTGGGATGACTAAGAAATCACACTCTTAGTGTTAAGATGTGCTGGGGTGCAGTGCAGTTAAAAAAATAATCATATTCAGTACTAATACTTAATTCAGCAATAAAAACAAGCAGTGCAGAAGTGGTGTGAGTTTTTAAAGTATCAACATTACCTCGCTAAACTTAAGAGATATGCAAAACTGTCAGTATTATTGTTTTGTAACTAATTTGTACTGTTTCCCAGCATTCCTGGTAGTATTAAAACAGCACCGGATGTTTTACTGCCACCTGAATTATTATTTTGTGCATGTTGCTGAAAAATGTTAAGTGATAGTAATATGCAAATGTATTCTTAAACACTGACATCTTATTAGGCAAAATGAGGGTTTGTTTTTTTAAATGATGATAATTGATGAATAATGAATTTTTAAACTTTCATAATTTTTTTAATACTTTGTCACAAGCTTTTAATCTTTCTGGACTATACCACTGAAGCACAAAACATAGATTGCTGTTTTGTAGAGACAAGTGTTCACCTACTAGTCAGTTTGTTTCTCGTATATGTTCCTGGAATAATGGAAAAACTGTCAGAATTGCTAATGTGAGTCTACATGCTTTTCTTTCAACACTTGTGTGCAACTTTGAACCTTGTCTTTGAAAGGCTGAGCAGTCTCAAATGATGATGCCTTGACATCTTATATTAAGATCAGACATCGCAGGCTGAAGTTAACCTTCTGCCATGCTGCTGTGGGGAGTTTTTCCTATACGTCTTGTAGTAACTATGGCTTAGTTAGACCTTAGTAAAGAAGCTTGTATTGGAACAACTTCAGCAATAAATTGTACATCTGAAATAGCTGAAAATCAAGCCTGCCTGCTTCCTCCCTACTCTGTCCTTTTGTTCTAAGACTTCGCTAAGGACCTGTGATGGATGGCAGCATTCTCAAGTGATGCAGTAAGACTTCCATTGGGGTCTGCCATTTGCATTAGTGAAGTTCTGTGGAAGCATTTGAATGTTGCATTCCTGAAAATATTTCATTAGGTGCCTAAATAGAAACTGGATTATTTGTGTAAGTCCAGCCTCTACCCTTTGTGCTGTGCTTATAGATGGTACTGCTGTGGGCCTTGTGTACATCCCCTCTCGGGCACGCACTTACTTTTTTTTGGGGTCTTGATGAAGACAGGCCATCATAACACAGTGATGATAATGCCTACTCAATTTGAATGATTTAAGCTCCCAGAATGCTTATAATCAGCCAGCAAATTGAACGGATACAGGAGGAGACTATTACTTGTACACAGACCTCATCGACTTTTTTCAGCAATGAATCTCACCTACCTAGGACAGGAAGAAAACACCAAGACCCAGCAACCTTCTACAATAAAAGGCTTTCTACTAATTAGACTTCAGGAGGTCTAAAAATAAGACTTTTCAAATATATTACACTTCTTTACAAAAGATTACCGTATCAATTACAGGGAGGCCTTTCCCATCCCTCTTCCTGCAAACTTTCTATTCCTGTGTTCACAATAGGGATTTTTGTGGTTCAGGAGTGAAGTTGAAGAGGGGAAAGTATCTTTGGTAGAAATTCTTGTGTAGTTTGACAGCAGCTCCATGTTTCAGTTTTAAACTTTGTGCTGATCAATGTCTTGTGACCTAAACAATTTTTTATCTATCCCTTAGACTTCTCATGGGTAAAATGATGTGAAAAACTTAATTTCATCAGCTGTATTGTATAGCACATGGTTATCTTATATGTTGCAAGCTTTTTTTCTTCTATGAAACCATGGTTTACTTCAGCTCAAGTAATGCTGGCTGGTAAATAGTTTTTACCATTGTCCAGCACAATTTGAGTTATTCTCTTAACCACTAACTTAGAGTGAAACTTTTTAATGCTGGAAACTTTTTAATGCTGTAGAGGTGTATGACAAACTGCTTTTGGTTCTTGTTTTGAGGTTCAACTTAAATCTCCTCTTGAAACTTGCTTAGGATAGCATTTGTCTTAAGTGTGGTTCTAGTGACTGTTTTTCTAACTTACTGCAAAGTGGTCAAATAGTGTAGAAAACATGCATGACTTTGGGTTTTTTTTTCATCACTTGTATGTTTATGCACAGCATGAAGCTTCAATAAAATATCATGGTAGTCTTTTTTTAATGACTTAGGGTTATTTTTTGTTCTGTCCAGGTTTCTATTCCAGAAAACATCTAATTTCTAGAATCAAGACAGGACCAATTAAAGCAGATTTTTTTAAGCTTGTAGAATAATAAATAAGAAACATTCTTAACAAGGAAATAGAACATATTCAACTGAACATAAAGCCCTTAACCCCCGCCCCTACAGCTAAGCATTAATGGGTTGTACAAAGTAAGACTGAAACAAGTCTCTAAACCCTGAAAATACGTTATGGAACAATAACCACCCCTGAACTAGCAGCACTGATGACTGCATCATGTCAAGCAGCTGCTTTTTTTTTTTTCTTCCTGCCTTAATGGTTGCATGTGGTTACCAGGGCCATGGGGTATATTTTCCGAGTGTCATCTTTTTACTACCTTGAGGCATCTCGCCATTTTAAAATGTCATAGCAACACACAATATTTGAATACAAGCCAAATGTTATAAACCATTGATCAGAAAGTCCAAAGCAGTTGCTTTTAAATTAGCATAAAACTTAAGATTCAGACCAGCATTGTAAATAACTAGGTGTTTAGCCTGGCCTAAATAAGTGCTGTTCTGTGTAAAAGGTAATGGAACTGATGTGAAACCTCCAGTTTGGAGGAGATGAGGCTTTAGACAAGCCTGAAGTGTGATGCTCAAGTTCAAGCTTATTTGAAATAGCAGAACTTCTCTATTACCCACGTTCCACTGTTCAGCAGCCTCTTTGCCAGTGGTGCTCCAGTGCAGCACTGTTAGGATCTCACATTTCTGTCTGCACTGGGGATAACACACCATCCTCCAGGCTAGCAATCTTCCTTGTTCTTAACACAGGCTACAAAGGTGGCTGCAGCTTAACAATGATTTTAGCTGTAACCAGTATCTACCCAGAACTGTGTTGCAGCTGGTTAAGTGCAGGTGCATCTATCCAGCTTCAAGAATGTTTGATTTAAAGCATCTGAATAGAGTCCTGACCTCATAGTCATCGACATTAACTTGACTGTTAACAAGTAGAGGAAAGATTCTCAGTCACAATTATTTATGAGAAAAATAGCCACCTTCTGCATTCCAAGCAATTTAAGATGAATGTTTTAGTAGGTAGGCATTTTTTTCAGTTCAACTGGTTTTGCTGTTACCACTGTTCTACTTCTTGCATTACTCTCAAACCAGAAAGCACACAGCTGTAATTCTGCAGTCAGGAAAAGCTAACCCAGATGAAAACTCAGAAAATTTGGTTGGAGAGGAACAAAGTGTTTCTGGGAAACAAAAACATCTGAATGTGTTTTCAGGAACACAGCTTCAGGTTTTTCAGCACTACACTGGAAGACAATTCTGTTACTTTTAAGTCAGTTTTTACACATATATCCATACATAGTTTGACCAAGTTACAAGACTTGTTTCCAGGGCCCCTGGCTCCCTGTGAAGTTTCCTATTCAGAAAGTCTTTTGTTTTTTGCTTTGTAAATCATACTTTGTACAGAATGTTTATCAGTGAATTACAAGAATATAAAATATTCATAGAATCTTCAGGTTGGAAGGGACCTTTAAAGGTCACCTAGTCCAACACCCCTGGAGTGAGCAGAGATATCTTCAACTAGATCAGGTTGCTCAGAGCCCTGTCCAACCTGACCTGGAATGTTTCCAGGGATGGGGCCATCCACCACCTCTCAGGACAAAAATATATTGATCATTTAATACCTCAGGATCTGTCATTCAAATATACAACTTGATGTTTTTATAACTAAATGGAAAAAAAACCTCAACCTTCCCCCAGTTGTTCAATATAAATGAAACCTCAAGATGTCAAGGACTGATTTTTTTTTTTTCTTCCTATAGCCAATCAATTAAGTTTCCTATAAGGCTGCATGCTTATTAAACTTGGATTTATTTCAGCTATTTCTAAAAAGATCCCAGTGAATGCTACCTATATTTAAGCTTTTAGAAGTTTAAGAAGTAAATTTTAAAAACATAAATACTTGCCTTACTGCAAAGCTATCTTCCTTTGGGAGTCCAATCTTGCAGCCTCTGCCCTGACTACTCTAAGTAAGCTGAGGGAATTCCCTTCAGAAGTATTTAGATAGAAGTGTCTACAGAGAACCTTTGTAGTAAAACATTATTCTCAGCTCATTATAAGATGTCACACACACACACAAACTTTGCATGAAGCAGCACACAGTTCTCTGAGAATAATCAGTTTTACTATGATTTACAATAAAAACCATTTACAGCATCTCCATGAAAAATAATGCCGTTTTGAGACTGGCACAGATGTTTTCCATTATCAAAGAGGAAGCTAATGTAAAATCTTTTCTTGTGCCTTAAAGACTTTATAAAGTAATTTAAACATTTTAAAAAAAAGTCTCTTTAAAAAAGTCTACTTTACACAACACTAACAAGTCAGCATGCAGGCAAACTTAATTAAACCGGACCAGCAGTGCTTGAATTAACCTTTTAAAAAATAACAATCACATGAAGAGAGAAGGCGAAGGTAACTACCTACAGAAAAAGTCCTTTAGATATCACCGTTCAATAAGCCTAAACTCTGCTAGCAATGGCAGGTGGTCAGAAGAATTATTTTCATTGGGAAGACCATTAACAGTCCAAAGATCTTTCTCTGTTAGAAGTGCCAGCCTGCCAAGAAGTTTGAGACCTCCGTGAAAAGAATCTTCTGCTCCTGGTTAAAAGGATAAAAGAAAGTGGA